CTTCACGTTTCATGGAGAGGCCACTTAACTGCTGGACCCCGGAGGGCCAAAATTGGTTTTTTTTTAAAAGTTTTATTGCACAAAAGCCACCCAGTTGCCCCAGGAGAAGGAGAGAGAAGGAAAAGAGAGGAAGGGAGAAAGAAGGCCAAACCAATGTTTAGGCTGAGCTCGGTGGTCCCGAACAAGCTTCACAAAGCTTGCCTTGTTGCAAACTTTGTGAAGCCCCCACCCCACCTCCCCACTTTCAAAGTGCTCTTTCGGCTGAAGTAAAACCTCACTTTAAAGGCCTTTTCTCTCTCTCTCTCTCTCCCTCCCTCTCTCTCTCTCTCTCCATCTCTCTCTCTTTCTCTCCTCTGGAGGAGAAGCGTTTTCAGCTCTCAAATTCACATTTCCCCCGAATGGGCGCCCAGCCAAACCCAACCAGACCTGTTGGCTAAGCTCCTTGAGCTGGGACGCCAAGCAGAAAATGAGCAGAAGGACAGTTAAGTCCTCGGCTTACGACCACCATTTTGCCCCGTGGCTAAGCGAGACCGTTGTTAAATGAGGTTTCGGCCCGTTTTACGACCTGGCTCCAGCCACAACTGCTGAAGCGAATCACGGCCGTCGTTCGATTAGTCGCACGGTCGTTAAGCGAATCTGGCCTTCCCCGCAGACTGTATTGTTAGAAGGGTTGCAAAAGGGGATGCTGAGACCGTCATAAATAGGAATCAATTTCTAAGCCTGCCTCTTCTGTGACTGTGTTCTGAATGGCTCAGCGCGCAGTAGCGGCCTGCGGCCTTGTATGAGGAAAGCTATCCTTTTTAACTTGAATTGTGGGGCAGGTAGGAGAGAGAAAGAATCACAGAGTGGGAAGGGGCCTTGGAGGTCTTCTAGTCCAGCCCCTTGCTCAGGCAGGAAGCCCTATATCATTCCAGACAAATGATTATCTAATCTCTTCTTAAAAACTTCTAGTGTCGGAGCATTTAAAACTTCTGGAGGGAAAACCGTCCCACTGATTAATTGTTCTGTCAGGAAATTTCTCCTCAGTTCTCTCCTTGATTGACAAGGAGAGATTCCAGCTAGAAATAAGGAGAATTTTTCTGACAGTGAGAACAATCAAGCCATGGAACAGAAGTTGTCATCGGAAGTTGTGGGACATTCATCCCTGGAGGCTTTCAAGAAGAGATTGGAATCTCATCTGTCAAAAATGGCGTAGGGTCTCCTGCTTGGGCGGGGTTGGACTAGATGACCCACAAGGTCCCTTCCCACTCTGTTAATCTGTAATTGACGAGTTTCCATCCGTTGCTTCTTGTTCTGCCTTCAGATGCTTTGTAGAATAGGTTGACCTCCCTCTTTGGGCCAACCCCTCAGGTAACGAAACATTGCTATCTTATCTATCCAGGGATGGGCTTCAAAAATTTTAGCCACCGGTTCGTGGCCATGGTGGGCGTGGCCTAGTTGGCCTCCTGCACCAGGGCGGGGGGGGAGGTGTTTTTCCCTTTTTTTTCTTTTCTTTTTTTTCTTTTCTCAAGTCTCTGAGAGGGCGAAAATGGCCTCTCCAGGCTCTGGAGGCCCTCTGGAGGCCAGAAACAGGCCCGTTGTTTCTGGCCTTCCGGAAGGCCCATTTTTCGCCCTCCCTGTGCTCCAGAGGCTTTCCTCAAGCTTCCGGGAGGGTGAAAACAGCCTCCCCGGGCTCCGGAGGCCCTTTGGAGTCCAAGAACGGACCCATTTCCAGCTTTCTGGAGCTTTCGAGAGGCTCAGTTTTTGCCCTCCCGAGCTTCCGTCTGGGCCCTGTGCTTACCTAGGAGCCAAAACGGGCCATGTGGGGATTCCTGGGAGGAGCGGGGCGGGTGGGGCCAGCCTTGGTTCACCCAACTGGCGATTAAAAATGATAAAATGAGCTACCAGTTCGTCCAAACCGAGGAGAACCGGTAGCAGCCCACCCCCTGGTCCATAAAAATGCTTCATTTCATTTCACCCTGAAACGTTCCGTTCCTGCTTCCGTCATCTGAGAGCAATCATCTCGAGGGGCACCAAAGCCACCAACGTTACAAAACGCTGGCCATACCTTAACTCCAAGATATTGGTGACGTTCCCCGAAGGGAAGATCCTTCGGATGTAGTTGAAGTCCCCGACATACAGGCTGCCGTCTGAGCCGCAGGTCAGGGCAACAGGTGCCAGGAGTTTGTTGCCGTCGGCCAGGCCGTTGCAACTCGGGCAGGAGATGCTTCTTCGGCGTCCGTTCCCCATGATGCTCCCTATAACTCGGGGTTGCTGGGAGATGAATTGGTTTTCCCCATTTCCTTTGTGCAGGATACCTGGGAGTGGGGGGCAAACACAAGGGGTGATAGGCAGAACTTGTTCTGACCCGGGCTTCCCAAAATCACGAAGCAGACTCCTCGTCCCTTTTTATTAGGCTAATGTGAACTCCTATCATTCACATCCAGCAAAGTCCTGGCAAACAGTCTTTCAAGAGGGTTTTACAACCACAGACCTTATCAGGCTTGGAGAATTGCCAGGCCGATAGCTTCTGAGCTCAAGGCTGTACAAGAAAACACTTGGCAAGGAGTCTCTACAGTCACGAACAAATCTTCACACTAATTAAACGAACTGACTGTCTCCTGCAAACTTCACTCCCCTTTCGCTCCTCTTTATTCCCTATGGGAGGGTCCATTCATCGTCCACCTATGCCTTTACTCCCAAGTTGACCCTTGTTCCTTAACCGTTTTCTTCTCCTGGCAGCTCTACGCATGCGTACATCGGGAACAGGCTCCAACTGTTCTTCTGCCCCGCTGATCTCTGACTCCGAAGGCTGATAACTGTTGGACGGTCCTGGCCCCATCTCTGCCTCTGACAGAGAGCACACAGAGGTCCAACCCATAGATTTCTACTGCTCTTCTCTCCTCTCCCTTCTGCACATCCATGTGTCGGGCAATGGACCCAGCTGTTCCTCCTCTTCTTCATCAGCCACCTCCAGATCTGAGGGCTGGCAGATGGCCCAGGCTCTATCTCTGTCTCTCTCTCTCTCTCTCTCTCTCTCTGCCAGATCCATTCCCTCCTCCCGCTCAGAGCTCCAAGGTTCCCCTGATGGTGACCCTGACTCCAATGTCTCCTCCTCCTCCGATTCGGCTGCTGGAGGGGCTGGCAGCCGAAGGACCGTAACATAAAGGAGATGGGTGGTTAGGAAATATGAAGTATGTATAAAGAAATGAACCATTAAACAAACATACCACTTTGGATGTTAAGCGCATGATGCTTGTCCAGAGACCATCCTCCAAGTTTCGAAGCGTCTATTTCGTAACCCTGAAGCACCGCTGTCCGTTTCTCCCACAGGATCAAATCCGGGCACGATTCGTATTCGTATCCCACTGAGACTGGGAGTCGCGAGAGGAAGAAAACCAGGTAAGACACTAGAGAAATCAGCCTAGTATGAACAGCTTTCAAGCAGTATCTTTAAAAAGAAATACCAAAACACAACCCGGATCAACTATGAAAAGAGGCAACTGCAATCCCAAGAAAATAAAAAAATAAAAAAAAACCCAAAAAAAAAAGAAAAAAAATAAATCAGATTCAGCTAGATCAAACACTTTTATTTTCCCCCCATCCCAAGAAAAGTTCAGGGCTATGGCGTCTGGGCTTCAAAAATTCAGACAACCACAAGATGGCAGCAGAGAGTCAATTTTTTTTGTGTCTCTCTGCTGCCATCTTGTGGTTGTCTGAATTAAGCAGCTTAAATATAGGAATGGTAAGAAAATGTAAGGTGGGAAGGAGAAATCTTTCTATGGAAAGGGGTTCCACAGGACAAAGGGAAGGACCAGAAACCGCTCCCCCAAGTGTGGTTTTGCCATCTGAACTTCAGATAGTGGTTGGTCAGGACTTTACAGAAAGCAATCCTGGTTAACTTGAGTTGAGTCGGACGGGACCTTGGAGGTCTTCTAGTCCAACTCCCTGATCAGACAGGAAACCCTATATAAACCATTCAGACAAATGGTTATCCAATCTCTTCTTAAAAGCCTCCAGTGATGGATCACCCACCACTTCTGGAGACAGGTCATTCCACCGATTAATTGTTCTAACGGTCAGGAAATTTCTCCTGAGTTCTAGGTTGCTTCTCTCCTTGATAAATTTCTATCCGTTGCTTCTTGTCCTGCCTTCAGGTGCTTTGGAGAATAAGTTGACCCCCACTTCTTTGGGGCAGCCCCTCAAATATTGGAAGATTGCTATCATACCACCCTTAGTCCTTCTTTTTATTAAACTAGACATGTCCAGTTCCTGCAACCATTCTTCGCATGTTTTAGCCTCCATCCTCCTAATCCTCTTTGTTGCTCTTCTCTGCACTCTTTCTAGAGACTCAACGTCTTTTTTACACCGTGGCAACTAAAACTAGATTCAATATTCTAAGTACGGCCTTACCAAGGCCTTATAAGGTGGCATTAACACTTCATGTGATTCTATCCAGGGGTGGGCTTCCCATTTTTTAGCAAGGGGCTCTCTGCCCTAAGGACGAGCTGGGTGGGCGTGGCTGGGTGGTCATGTGACTGGGTGGGTATGGCCAACTCGACATCGCTTCTTTGCCCTAATGACCTAAAAAAAGATATATACCATAGAGTTGTTTATTATTTCATGTCATTTAATAATTAAATAAAAGACGGGGTGAAACCAGGCTTAATAGCAGTGACTGTGAAGAGGGATCTTGGAGTCTTAGAGGAGTTTCTGGTGAGCTATGTGATTCTTATTATTTGGGAAATTCATCCCCTCGGAGGCCAGTGGCTATATTATCTGATTTTGTCAATGGCTCTTGCTCGCAAGCGCTGAGTGGATTGTTTATCTAGCTTGCCACACTTTTACGAGGTGTGAAATGCTCTTGGCTGAGTGTCCAGAAGTTCAATTAAGCCTATTAAGAGCTTTCCCTTGCTGCTTGTCTTTCTGAAGTTATTGGGGGCTATCTCTCTGAGCCCCTGCGAGACCCCAGCAGCCCTGATACTATCCCTCTGTTATGCAGTCTAGAACTGTATTGGCTTTTTGTTTTTTGGTAGCTGCAGCTACCAAAGATTAGAAAGGCAGATACAAAAACGGTATTTTACCGAACAAGAAGATAAACAATTTTATGAAGTTTGGGATCTTTTTTTATCAATGGTTAGATAATAAAACATAATAATAGAATATTCAGATTTAGCATAAAAAAATTTTTTTCTTGATATTATCTTTATAAAACATTATCAAGATAGATTTGGTATGATCTTATGATTTATTGCAAAATAAATGAAGTAAACTACAGTTATCTCGTTAAAATATGAATTAACAAAATTATAGATAAATGATTTTTTTTTAGTGATGATATTAGGTTATACAATTATTGATTGATAATATGAGCTATTATGTAATATAATTATATTAGTGACTAGGAAATGGATGCACAAAAAAAAGTGGTAAACCAATCGATGCACTGTATGTAAATTCACGAAGAAGGAGGATATTTTTATGTTTTTTGTGGTATGTTTATGTTGTCTTATTGTTAAAATAATTTTTTTTTTTTATAATAATAATAAAAAAAATGGTATCTTACCGAAGACTTCGGATAACCCATAGACCTTCTGATTGTAGACGTCCGTCTTGTCCCAGATGAAGTAGTAAGAGAGGTCTGGAGCTGCAGCAAACCACTTTCTGAAGAGGCGCCCTTCCACCGCAACCATGAGGTGGACTTTCATAAGGTTGAAAGGGATGGTGGGATGGGTTAAGCTGATCTTCAGGACCGATTTGTAGCCAGGCGTACGGCTGCTCAGGTAGCTGAGCTTGATTTTAGTCCCTGAGATTTTAATCTCTTCTTGTAAGGCCTGGAGATTAAAAACAAAACAAAAAATCACAGCTGAAGAACTTCCGAAGACAGCAAAGTCCACATTTTGGACAAAGAGGACTGCTGGTTTGAAAGAGGGGTCAAAGAGATCGCTAGGTCAAAACTGATCAACCCTTTCTCAATAGGGGTGGGGGTAGGTGGGGATTACAGCTTAATTTATCTCCAGTCTACAACACAGTCCTTTCGGCAGTTCTAAGAAGACTCCACATGCATCTGCACCACTCAGATGACCCTGAGGACACAGATAAACTTCCAAGTGGCCTCAACGGCCCTCTAAAAGGATGCAAATGACCAGCTGTCTGCAAGGAATATAAATCCTTCCATTCCCCACCATCCAGTCAGAGTTGGAGATATATATACATATATTTCCCTCCTAGCACTGGTGACATTAGCTAGTTGGGTGATGGAAGGTCCACAAGAAACCACCAAGTTCAGAGAACACCAAGGATCCCACCTCCTCCTCCACTCCACATACCCCCCTCCTTTCTATCACTGATGATGTCACCTAGTTTGGTAATGAAAGGTCTGCAAGAAACCACCAAGCTCAGAGACCACCAAG